GTGTCGTAGTAAGACAGCGTGTCCATACAGCAGAGTTCGATGTCCGCCACCCTGAACAAAGGGAGAGACACAAAGAGAAAAACAGAAAATTAGATTTTTCTAGAAACTGTTCATGCAGATCAGGGGTAACCAATTAAAAATCAGAATAAAGAAAATCATCAATCAGTAAAGGTCAGGAGACATTTTTAAATATAATCTGTTACTTTAAACACAATTTAACACTGAAATAAAATGAATGCAACCATGTTATATGAAAATTTATAAAAAAAAAAAAAAGGAACTTTTTTTCATTTTAAACAGAAATCGTTCAGTTTGGTTTACAGACAATTTCCTGATTCACATATTTTATAAAATGCCTGAACTGATTTGTTATTTTTCTTTCTTTTTTCTGCCTAAACGATAGTCTAATCAGGGCTTCCAGACACAGGAAACAACGACAGACGTTAAGGTTCATGTCACTGCTAAGCAGAATCATCACTGGAAGTCATGCAGCAAGATAGGGAAGCGAGGATCTCTATGAATGTCTGAAGTTCTCTGATTATGGAGGCTGACTGTAAGGATATGACGCGGTCTACTGATGCACTATTTGTTATCTGAGAACTAAGCCAGAACTTAACCACGCCGAGCCCTACTGATGAACTAGTACCATGTTAGCACGGTTTGGTTACTTCTGGCACGGTCCGGTTCAGTTGTACGTAACATTTACACTCAACAGTTACCTTGGTTACCGTGCTCGGACCAATCTCAGCAGTTTCAAAATGGTAGTGGAAATGGGGCTTATTGCCAGATGCCATCCAGTCTCTGTCCAATCAGAGCAGGAGTCGCACCTGGTCCATGTTGGACTCCATCCTTCTGGTACCGGTCCTGTTCAGAACCTTTATGGACAGGATTTCTAGATGCAGCTAAGGACCAGAGGGGGTCTGGTTCAGGGACCAGGGGATCTCGGGAACCACCACCTGCAGATGGTGTGATTTTTCTGGCTTCTCCTTAACAGAGCGGTTCACATCAGTGTGAAGCAACTTGAATGAGAATTAACCCCTCCAAGTCTGAGATTATGGTTCTGGATTGGGAAAAAAAAGTATCTTGTCTCCTTTAGGTTGGAGGAGAGTTCCTGCATTTGAAATTTCAGAGCTTCCAACCTCTGGAGAAAAATGTTGTATGTGAAAACAATACCGTTAATAATAATAAACATGTTTAGTTATGTTAATGTTTAGTTATTTTCACATGGACATCACCATTATGTTTAAGCAGCAATGTATTTACATTTAGGGTAAATGACGTATGCTAGCTTCTATAGTGTTAGCTCTGTCCAGCCAAAACGCGATAAGTAACTTTAAATATTTTCAGTTTACACCGACTGAAAGAGGCTTCACTTTCGCTTTAATCATTCCCTCCATATCCTCCAATTTGATTTTGATTTCATGTTAGCTTCTGCTAATAGCATTAGCTTTAGCTAATGTAGTAAACAGTTGATCACACATGAAAATTCTGAGGCAGTGTTGCATTGAGGCATCCTCTAAATTTACACCCAGTCAGTCACTATATGATGAAAAACAGCTCAGAAAATGTTAGCCTTGCATAATGTTAGCCTCGGATAATGTTAGCCTTCCATAATGTTAGCCTCAGATAATGTTAGCCTAGGATAATGTTAGCCTCGGATAATGTTAGCCTCGGATAATGTTAGCCTCGGATAATGTTAGCCTCGGAAAATGTTAGCCTCGGATAATGTTAGCCTTA